TATAGGCCCTGCTTCTTCAGCATCCTCCCAACTCCATTTTAAGTGACTCTTTTAACAATGCTTATTCCATTCTATTGTTCTTTTATCAGTAGGAAAAGGTATTGATGTCATATTTAATCAATATTCCAGATTTTGTTTCATGCATTATTTAAATTCTTAAATTATAAATTTAAATTCTTCACACAAAAGAACTTAGAAGTTTCTGGAACAAAAACATCCCTTAGCAACTGTAGACTTTACACTAAGGAAAAAGCAGTTATTTAAAAATCTGCTTTATAGTCCAATAAAACATAATTTTGTTTAAATCTTTGGGTCAAATTTTACTTTACAAAATATTGATGTTTTTATCTAACTCTTTGGCCCAGAATTCTGATTACGGACTGACAATATACAGAATATCCTGTACTAGATAGGTCCATTGTATGGGACTGTCGGTACACAGTGAATTTAAGTTAGAAAAAAGTTCTCAGAAATATTTCAAGTCTATTGTCATTCCACAGAATAATTTAACTGACATAAAGTGGATAGACTACTGCTCTGTCCAGATAGTTTGTGTTTTTAATTTCTCAGGAAGAGAACCCATATCTGCATAATATTGGCAGGAATTATCAAGCCAGTGTTAACGCAAACCCAATGAGTACTAAATAGATAAAATAATATGTCTGAATGCAGGAGAAGACATGGCAGATTCAGAAATTAGAAGTTCATTGTGACTTAATCAGAAATGTGAGAGATGAAGGTGGGAAGGTCAACACGGGCACAGTTGTGAAGGCTTTTGTGCCATGCCAAGAATAACAGAGAGCTGTGAAGGCCTTGAAGCAGGGAAGTAAGGTGAACATCAGATCCAGCAGATTGGCTAAGGAAATCAGACAAAAGGCAAGGAGATCTGTTAGAGACTATTGCATTAATAGAGAAGAAAGGATAATAATTAGACCAAGGTGGTGGCAGTGGGAACAGAAAGGAAGTGGAGGAATCTGAGGGATTAGTTAGGAGAAGGGACTTAATAGTATTGGTGACTGGATGAAGAGGAAATGAGGAGAAATCTAAGCTACTGCCTGGTTTCTGAGTGGAGCCAATGAAATGTGTGATACCTATTCACTGAGCTAGAGAACACAAGTAAGAACAAGTTTAGGAAAGAAAATGATGAATGTAGGGTAGATGTGGTCAGTGGGAGCCAAAGGCAAATTGCAGTGGGTTGAGGAGTGAGTGAGGGGTGAGTAGAGAAAGAAATACAGGTAATTCAAAGGAGATTGACTATAGCAAAGGAAGAGAGGGGGCAGTAGCAGAAAGGGAATGTAAGAAAGGTTTCCCCACATATTTAAATGATGATATGAAGAGGGAAAGACAATGCAGGAGTGAATGGGAGTCCAGAGGAGCAAGCCTCCTGAGAAGGAAGAACTAGAGGAATATAGGTGGAATTCAGAGCACAGGTAGCCATCAACAGGAAAAGGGACTCCTCCTTTTCACTAGGACAGAAAAGAGATTGGCAGTGGTGAGAATGGGGATGTGTGCTGTTACATTCCTAGAGTGATAGAAAGAAAGTGAGAGAATTTCCTAAGTAGTGACCTCTAGTTCCTCTGAGAAGTTGGGGCAAGTCATCTGCTGAGGACAAACAGAAAGCCGGTAGGATAGTTTTGTAGAGAAAGTAAACAAACTGAAATAGCCACCATGTGAAATAAAGAGAGCTCTCTGGCCTGGCAGCAGGGTGTTGGCAGGGTTGAAGACCCAGCTACAGGTGTAGACCATTAATTTCTGCAGGTGTCACTGTGCGCAATTGTATGATTTTCTTCAGGCTGCCCTTGAAGAGGACCTTCAACAGCCACAGGGAGCTGAGGGTAAGAGAGCGGCTGAAGCAATTTAGTAGCTAATTCTTGATACTAAGTCTGGGCTTGAGTAAGGATGAAAAGGGAGGGTGGTTACCTGCAGACTCAGTGCCATCACTACACGCCTGACATTTGTCTGAGTAATTTCACATCTATTATTTCACCTATCCTTAGAAAGTCAGATAGGAGTTTTCCCTTTTTACAGCTGGAATTTGATGAGATTAAAAAGGGACTTGGTCCAGGGTTACAGGTCTTAGAAATTCAGACCCAGGTTTCTCTTAAAAGGTTTAAATGGTCACAAAGTTTCTGAAAGAATTAGTCCCACAGTTCCCCGGTAGGTGGTTAGGTACAGTGAATGGGCTTTCAAGGAACTAGCACTAGACCAGGTGACCAGAGGGATAGAAGATGCGTTAAGTAGATACTACCACATGTCAAGAGAAACTTATCAGTTAATGAAAGAGTATGTGGATAAATTTGTGATTTGTTCGGGTTATTGTTTTTTGGGTTGGTTTGGTTGGTTTTTTACAGTGAAAAAACTGAAATACCTCTTAGCCATTTATATTTTTTTTTAAGATTTTATTTATTTATTTATTTATTTGACAGAGCACGAGTATGGGGGGCAGCAGGTAGAGGGAGAGAGAGAAGCAGGCTCCCTGCTGAGCAGAGAGCCTGATGTGGGGCCCGATCCCAGGACCCTGAGATCATGACCTGAGCCGAAGGCAGACGCTTAACAACTGAGCCACCCAGGCGTCCCCCTCTTAGCCATTTAAATAAAAACTAAAGTATAATTTAAGCTCTGTCTGCTGGAATGTCAGTGTTTATTCATTGTTATGAAATCAACAGGTAATTTAATTGTGAAAAATCCATTCTGTATCAGCATATATATAGCTCAGGGGGGAAAAAATGATGCTCAGCCTACTCAGACAGCTGTTGATGGCCCTTACCGACTCTGCATCACTACCTCTGTTTTTCCAGTCTCTTTTTTCCTTTTTTCTATTTTCTTTAGGGCCTTTTCTTCTACATATCTCTTCCCACTGTTTTTGTTTCCCCATTGGCTTTCAGAGCCATACGTTTTGGGAGCTTTTCTCTGCAGTGTAGGTGCCAAAGGTTGGGGTGCCTGATGTAGAGTAGGACCATTACTTCTCAGGGATACACTGCTTATTTGTGAGATCCATCCTGATTGGTTGTCCTGGGGTGGGGTTTTTACAGAGACACAGTATGGACCTTTTATCTGCTCTTCAGCTAGTTTTCAGGTCTTTTTCACAGGGAATTGATCCGTATGTAACTGTAGATTTTGTGTGTATGTGCCATGTTCCTGATGTACTTTAATTCAGAAATGCCAATTAGTTGAGGATGTTCTAAATTCATGAGGAGTTTTTTATAAATTCAAAGATGTCTATAAGCAGTGGTGTGCTAATAAATTAGTTTAACAATCTGCTCTCAGGAAGAGCAGCCTGATTTGTAGCATTTGCCAGTGAGTAATGTATATATTCTACCAAGCCAGTTTCAAGCTGTCATACATGAAATAGAGGTGGAAAAACATGTGCACAATGGATCCTCAGAGCTGGTAGGAGCCAGCTCCAGCACCCTGTGACCTAAAAAATTAAAAAAAAAAAAAGATAAGGAGAATCAGATTTTTTTCCCATTGTTCCCAATTAATCCACTAATTTATAATCTATTTAATTTGTTCAGAATGTATCTGGTGACTCTATTTACTATAAATTCAATTCATATATTTATGTCCAGTAATCATGTTCCAAGATTTTCAAGTCATAACAAGATCTATAATTTTAGAGTTAGGAAAGATGGTTTTCCTAAAATATACTTATGTTCTTCAAAAGTAGTATAGTTAGTAAGATGAAAGTAGCTTAAACCAGACAATGTATAGTTTAACAGCAGTTAAATTTATAATATTTCAACCTCAGGGCCTGAAGAAAAAGAAAAAGAAAAGGAGCGAGTTAGTAATGTGTTTATACCATATTCTCTACTTTCTTAAATTCACTGTACACTCATTTGCAAGTAAAGCATTTTTTTTAACAATCCTAGTAAGTTGAATTTTCTCACAGTACATGGTATAATAAAACTCAGTAAAACCAAGGACAAGGCATATCAGTAAAAGGTTTTGTCGATCTATCAACCCAAACTGGAAATGCTTCATATTTTAGACAAACCTCTGCCTTGACCCAGAAAGACACATGGCATTGATAAATCTGTATATCCTAGTACATTCAGAAAATGTTATAGGTAACTCTTACCTATCACACAGAAGCCTAAAATCAAACTCCCCCTTCATGCTTTTAAGGTTTATGGGATAAATGTAGAGCCGAAAGCAAGTAGTTTTTGAACAGTGGCAGTTTTTCTCCCACTGAACTGCAATAGACAGATTTTTCACCCCACGTATAATTCCATTAAATTGTGACATGACAGATTTTTAACATGTAGAAAGGTGAATAAAACTATCTGCAACATGTTAAAACACATGGAGATAATAATACTTTTCACATGATTTAGGTTATAAATAAATCAAGTGCAGCATTTCTGTGTTCTTGTTCAAAGATTTTTTTTAATCTGATATCCTTTTAACCTGTACTTTTCTCAGAGAGCTGTTGGTGACCGTTTGATCAAACTGCCATGTTTTTATTTTTAAAAGAATGTTGAGTCATTTATTCATATGTTACTGTCCAAATGATTATAAATATTTTGAGGTAAATCTAAGATTTTGATACAAAGCCATTGACTACATTAATCAACTTTGGTATCTGAAAAATATTAACCATTAATTATGATTAACATTCTAAAAACGGCAGCCCAACTGAATGTTAAGTTTTTCTGATTATGGATAATTTTTCTATGTTGGAAAAAAATTGTTACAGATACATCAGAGCAACATTTTACATAATTTTGTAAATCTTTATCAGAATATAGGTTGCCAAGTATAATTTGCACAAACAGATAGAGTATAGGGAGTGACAGATTGAAGCAAGTATCGGACTTAATCAGCTTCTCTGCATCCTCCACTCCCCCCACTCCTTACACGCACTAATACTTTGTTTGACTCAACATTTGAAGAGGCCAGCCACTCAGTAGGTTTTGCTGAAGGTGCTTTGCAATCCTATTTACAATACTAAGGTTGAATGCTACTAGTTCCTTACATCGATTTTATATTTTAACATTTAGATTTATGGAGAATTTACAAACAGAGGTCCAAGAAATGGAATTCCTTCAGTTTTCTAAAGGTTTGAGTTTCATGAGAAAAGAAGACTTTGCAGAGTGGCTACTTTTCTTCACTGACACTGAAAATAAAGACATCTATTGGAAAAATGTAAGAGAGAAGTTGTCAGCAGGAGAGGTTGGTATACCTTTTTATTATGCTTCTGGTAAAGATGAAATAATCTTAGAAATATTTACATAATTAGGGACACCTGGGTGGCTCAGTTGTTAAGCGTCTGCTCAGGTTATGATCCCAGGGTCCTGGGATCGAGTCCTGCATCAGGCTCCCTGTCAGCGGGAAGCCTGCTTCTCCCTCTCCCACTCCCCCTGATTGTGTTCCTTCTCTTGCTATGTCTCTATCAAATAAATAAATAAAATCTTTTAAAAAATTAAATAAAAAAAATATTTACGTAATTAAATAAAGTAACTTACAAATTAACAAAAACCATGTTACTCTCTATTATTTAAGTATAAAATCAAGGTGAGAAATGTTCTTTACATACTGTTTTCGTATGAATGAATTATTGCCTAAGATAGAATCAGTATAGCAATGAGTTTTGCATTTCCAGTAAAGTCGGGAATAAGAATGTTCACTGTCACCACTATTACTTAGTATTGTTCTGGAAATCTTAGCCAGTGCAAATTAATAGGATTAAAGAATATAAACATTTGAAAGGAGCCACAGTTGTCTTTGTTTGCATAGATGTGATTATATATCTAGAAAACCCAAGAGACTCAAATTGAAAAGCCATTAGAAACAGTAAAAATTCAATAAAGTGCCTGTTACAAAGCTAACATATTAGCAGTAACTGTCCTGTGTACAAATTGCAAGTTAGAAAATGTATTGGGACTAGTGTGTGTATGTATATGAAGAAATGATTGCCAAACTACTAATAATGATTAATACACTGTTGTGAGATTTTTTGTGTGACTTTTTTTTTTATTTTTTATTGTTATGTTAATCACCATACATTACATCATTAGTTCTTGATGTAGTGTTCCATGATTCATTGTTTGTGCATAACACCCAGTGCTCCACGCAGAATGTGCCCTCCTTAAT